GGTCCTGAGTGATCCCCGGGAAAAAAAAAAAAAAAAAAAGAAGTGTGTGTGTATGTGGCCTAAAAAACAAAGCCCAGTGAGCTCTGGTGCCTAACGCTTGTCTGGCGCTTCACATGAAGTACAACGTGGTATTTGGAGAGAGTACAGAGTATTTTGAAGTATCCAGAAACCCTACCTGCCTAGCCCCGAAGAAATCTTTGGATGCCTTTAGGCTTAACTTGTGTTTTGAAACTGTGTTCTGTGTCTGGACTCCTGGGCGTGCATTTGTACCTGGCAGGTAACTGAGCATCTAGCACTGCAGCAAGGGCACAGTGAGTGGGGGCCAAGAGGCCTCCCGCTGGGGGGCTCAGCAGGCACCGTGCTGCACACCTGCAGCCAGCACACGGGAGGCTGAAGCCGGGGCTCCCCAGGGAGCTCAATGGCCTGAACGGCACAGTGGACCCTGACTCAAAAGAGCGATGGGGAGCCTTGCACTGCGGGCGCGGCGCTGGGCTGGGAGGCCCCGCGCCATGGTCGTCCTCGCTTGCTTCCGGTCCATCTCTGACCGCAGCCCCCACGCCCTCTTGCAGCTCAATGTGGGGATCCCCTCCCTGACCAAGTGCTGCAACCAACACGATCGGTGCTACGAGACCTGCGGCCAGAGCAAGAACGACTGCGACGAGGAGTTCCACTACTGCCTCTCCAAGATCTGCCGGGACGTGCAGAAGACGCTGGGCCTGGCTCAGAACGTGCAGGGTGAGGACCGTGGCGGGCCGGGGGCCTTGGAGGCGGGTTCTCCCGTGGCATTTACTAGCAGAACTCTTGCGTCTCACAGCTCTTCACTCTGCTGAGGTGAGGAGCGAGCTGCTTGTCTTTGTAATCTAAAACCACCCAGTCAGGGAAGCAGGACAGGCTAGGAAAGCTGGGAGGAAGGTGTCTGAGGCTGGAGAACAGGTCTCTAACCATTGAGAACCTGAACATTGCAATCCCGAGTGGTCATCTTAGTCCATTCCAGGTGCCGGAACAAACCTTGGTGGACTGGGCGGCTTAGAGACAGAAACTTCCTTCTGGAGGCTGGAAGTGCAGGCCCAGGACACTTGCACACACATTGTCCTGGGTGAGCCACTTCCTGTCCGAGAGGCCCCTTCCGGCTGTGCCATTGCACACCGAAGGGACTGGCAGCTCCCCGGGGCTCCAGCGCCTCCCTCCAGCCTCACCACCTACTTCAGCATCCGACATAGCCAGTGTTGGAGGGACGCGGCGTTTTAGAGTTCTCCACACAGTCTCAGATGCTCGCTCTGGCTCTGAAGCCCTGACAGCGGGTATCAAGCAGGAGATCTCTGCCCCAGCTGAAGCTTGAATCCACCACCCCATCCCCTCACAGATCTGGGCTGAGGGGAACTGGCTGGACTGGACACGCATGGACACGCTTCCTGTTTTCTGGTCCAAGAAGGGTGTCATCATGCGGCTGCAGGAGGCGTGTTCTTGCTTCCTCCTGTCTCAGTCTGGCTTGGGCATCGCTTTGGTTGGTTGTGCTCTTCGGAGTTCCAATCTTTGGGAAGACTTGGAGAATCTTAAGATGTCATGACAGAAAGATATTTCTTCACCGTGAAGATCTGAAACTAAAAGCATTAGAGAACTAAACGCTATCTTGTGCTGCGTCTCTATAAATGTCCAGGCAATCTCGCCTGGATGTTTCTGGTTTCTTGTTATTGGATTTTTGTAAAAATCAAGAAGCCCTCCCAGTGGAAAGCTACTTTGGATTCCGGTGTCCTCCCACCCATGAGCCCAGTGTGGTTTGGCCGGAGGAAGATTGTGCCGTGTACTCGTATGCCTCACCTACGGGGCTGTGCTCAGCTCTCGGAGGCTGTGGGCCTTAGCATTGGCGCTTCTGTTTTTAAATTTATTTCATCGGCACGTAAAACATCTTTACAGAACCAAGGCTCTAGCCCTGCAGGAACTGCAGCATCTGTGCTTACCCTGTACACGAACGGCCCTGGGTTTGATTCAAGGCACACACAAAACAACAATAGCCAAGCTTTCCCCAAACCCTAAGTGTGGGAGCTGTCAGGCATCTTGGTTAGTGACCCCAACCCCCAGCTAAAGGAAAGTCAACACCGATCGGTGCTCTTGTCCACACTGTTAGCAGTCTGGTATGGAACATGAGAAGGCAAAGGAAACATCAGATACATGGAAAGGAGAGGGGGCTGAGTCAGGGCCGGCGGGGAGCTGAGGGAGGTGCTGGGGGCGGGACACTGGGGTAAGGCGCTGTGCCCACAGCTGCTCACTGTCTTCCCCTTCTCTCTGCAGCCTGCCAGTCGGTGGTGGAGCTCCTGTTTGACAGCGTCATCCACCTGGGCTGCAAGCCCTACCTGGACAGCCAGCGAGCCGCCTGCAGGTGTCGCCACGAGGAGAAGACCGATCTCTGAGCAGGGGAGACAGCCAGGGTGGGGAACTTAACCTGTGCCAAAGAGCTTGTGTTCTCACAGCACAAGGCTGCTTGGTCCTGGTAAAAGGGTCATTTAAGAACTAACGGGACAGTGTTCTGAGGTTAAAACCTCTAAGGAAAAACACAAAGAAAACAGCCGGGTGTGGCAGCGCACACCTGTGATCCCAGTGCTTGGGAGGCAGGGGCAGGATCTTCACCAGTTCGAGGCCGGTTTGGGCTACACAGCGAGACCCTGTCTCAGAGGAGGAAGAGAGGAAGGCATGGCTGCCTTTTCAGGGGCTTTCTGGATGTCGGTGCCTCAGTGGCCAAATTGTGACCAGTGTCAAAAGCAGGAATGTGCTAGGGAAGACATTTTAAAGAGAAGAGTGCGTAACTCTTGTCAGAAGAGTATACATATTTTTAAAATGTGGTCAAATGTTGTTTCCATTCTCTCTATTCAATATTATTTGGAAATAAAAGGAAATATTCACTTATAAGTACTATTTGTTTGCTATAAATTTTTCAATAAATATTTATGCCCGGAAGGGACCGAGTTCGTTTTTTCTGTATTCTAATCACTGGTTGCATGTTGTTTCTCTGTAGCCCACTAAGTGCACGGCGAAGTCATGTTAGTGGTGAGGACAGAGTCTCCATGTCTGTTTCTACAGAACCGCCAGCTGTGGCCTCTGAGGATGCAAGCCCAGGTCACCACAGGGTCCCACAGCGAGGGGACATGGCCAGGCCGCCCGCAAACCACACTTAGAGCCAGGGTCACTCCCAGGCCATGCCAAGCTGGGAGAAGGTGGACCGGCAGAGTGCCCGGTGTGGCCACACTGTGAGTTCATCCCTAGCGCTCACTCCTTGGTGAGTTCTGGAGTATTTTTTAAAGACTAACTTTCTACCAGGTGTGGCCGTAATAGAAGTGACTCTTGGTGTTGTCGTTTTACGTTTTTCCTTATAGAGACAAAATGGATGGGAAGGGTGAGATACAAAGAACTGCCTTTTTTGGCTCTCGTTTCCATAGAGAACTAGTGAGCAACTTCCAGCAGCCACGGCTGCCCCTGAGAATCCAGGCGTGCTGAGCCTGTCTACCCCCAGCGTGCACAGCCGCGTCCTCACCCCGAAACGGCCTGAGCTGCTTGCGGGCTCAGAGGAGGAGAGTGCGCCCAGTGGTTCTCTGTGAGTCCTCACGGGAGGGCTGGTCAGAAAAAACCTGGGTCTGGAGAAAGGGCCGCACCCCTGAGAGGGCGCTGCTGGGAACCTGGAAGCTGGAGGCTCCCGGCCTGGGGAAGTGTTGTGCCCAAGTCGCGAAGTCCCCAAAGACCACCAAGGAGTCAGGTCCGATGCAATTGCAAGAGGAGATTATTGCAAGCTCGAGCCTGGACCCTCAGGTGTCACCGTCACAGCGGCTTCAGACTGAGAGCCCAGATCCATCTGGAGCGGGCTTATATAGGGTTAGGGAGGCTCTTTCCTTTTATAGGTCCTATTTTTAGCTCTCGCTCACTATTGGATATTCGAGGGATGCTGGGAGAGCTTTTACATTTTATTGGATATTCGAGGGGCACCAGGAGGGCACTTCCTGGAAAATTACCTAATGCCTACATTCACAGAATCAATTCCTCTTTTTAAAGAACATCTGATTAAACAAATTCTGTAATTAACAAAGACTACACATGTGAGCAATGATTAATGCCTGTATTAGCAATGGCTACCTATATAAGCTATGACCAGTACCTTTGTTGGCTAAATCAATTTCATCAATCCTTTTAAAATACATTGATTATTTTAAGCAGGAAGAATTCATCTTTAGATTGTAAAAAGAGGAACAGAAACAGGGTGGAGTTGCCCTAAGACAGCTTGCCCTAAAAAGAGTTACAGAAGCACAGGGAGACTGTCACACAGAATGGAATTTTACAGAAGGGAACTTGTGCAGCTTTGTTCTGAGCAAGGGGTGTATAGAGGGGGCGCAGAGGGAGCCCACCTTGACTGAAAACTTGGTCCTCACAGAAGCAGCTCTCATCCTTCCCTGTGCTCACTTGTGCTGAAGTGAGCAGCCTGGGCCCCGATTTAAATGTTTTGAACCCTTTTCCTCCCTCCGCTCTTTTTTTCCTTTTTGTAGTACTGGGTGGGATTGGACCCAGGGTCTTTGCACTGAGCTAGCTCCCCAGCCTATATGTTGTTTTTTGAGACAGGATTCACAGAGTCACTAAACTACCCAAGTGGAACTCAAACTTGCAGTCCTCCTGCCTCAGCCTGCTGCAGTCATCGTATCACTGGCCTATGCCTGTGGGCCCAGTTTAGAACCTTACTTGATACTTTATGTCAGTTTTAAAAAGGTACGGTTTTGCACACCATTGTCAATGTTTAATCTTTATCACTATTTATTATTGAAGTACTTGATAACTAAGTCAACAGGGAATGAGAGGCTTTTCCCAGTTCTGTCATCTCTCATGGGGAGAAATGGCAGGCACAGCAGCATCTGCCCGTAATCTCAGCTCTCGGGAAGCTGGGGCAGGAGGGTCAGGGGCTTGAAGCCAGCCTACGATGCTTGGAGAGTTCCAGACCAGCCCTACGCTACATTCACCTTGTCTCAAAAGAAGCGCAAACAAAAAATATGAGTAAAATATTTAATTTGTTGCCATAAGTTGTATAAAAATAATAGAAATGATTTTTATATGTTCAGATTAAAGTTCTTGGAGCCATTTCAGCTTTGAAGTTGGAGCGTGGGGTTCCTGTGGACCTTGTCAGGCTCTGTTAACATTTCCCGGAGGCGTGGCACGTCTGTCAGAAGCCCAGAAGCCAGCACGGCTCAACACGGCCACTGCACGGCACCACGGGCTTTTGTGGCTCCCAGGCGTGCCTCGGTTTCCAAACTGATGGTTCCATGGAGGCCTGCTCAGGCACTTTGTAGAATACCCCTTGGTCTGGGGCTGTCTCGTGTGGATTTCAGAAAGGAGCCGTGGAGCGAGGGGTGCTCTGTGCCGCACAGGCCAGTGACTTGCGGGGTGCTGACCCTGCAGGCCAGGTGGGGAGAGCTGGTGTCCCCTCTAGTGGTGTCCTCTTCAGCTGTGCCATTGCCAAGCGCCCTCACCATATCCTCTTTGGGTGTGGGGGCTCAAACTTAGGATTCTCCTGCCTCGGCCTCCCAGAGGGCTGGGGTCATGGATGTGAGAGTCGCCATGCCGGGCCATACTTTTGTCTGCTGAGCGCCCTCTCACTGTCTGGCTTGTCTTGCCTGTTCCCTGCCATCCTCGGGAAGGAACACTTATCTGAGGCACCCTGAACCAGCCTCTGCCTGTATAATCAAAACAGACATGTACAAGTACAGATTCCCGTAGATGAATGTTATCGTGTATATCTAAAATACATGGATGAGGGCCGGGATTTAGCTCAGTGATGCTGCCACCTGCCTCACAAGCACAAGGTCCCAAGTTTGATCATGGCACCAAAAAAAAAAAAAAAAAAAAAAAAATAAAA